CACAGAGTAGATATACTACACAGAGGTGGAACTCAGCCAAAAAAGTGTAACCGGCCGCCAAAAGCTTAGCCAGTGCGCGAAAGAGAGGCATTCACCCCCCCGAACTCAAATTTCAAGATGGCGCCCGAATGTTTCAGAAAATAATCGGCACGAGAAACACTTGTTATTTTGCTCATAACAGTTTTCCTTTACTAAAGTTGTTATTAACATGTTTATATAATTCGTCCTTGAAAGATGTGTTGGTATGAAAAACCTTTGAAGATTATCTACCGATTTATATGGCACTATTATTCATCGTAGGAGTGGAAAATTGAAATTCCGAAATTACCGAGAAATTAATACTCATGTGAGCCATGTCTAAAGGATTTAGAAGAAATGTAAATGGTATAATAACTTATGTGCAGCTGGATATCGTTGTATTTAATATTTTGTGAAATACTTAGGCAGAAATCAGTCAAGATTTCACTATCTGAAATTGAAACCGCTATTGTAGTATATGGCACCCTGTTTATAATAGTGATAAAAATCATAAAACGTGAGGGATGTTGGTTTTTTACATTTCAAACACACTATATTTAAAAAAATATGATGTACATAGTTCATATTTAACATCATTCAGGTTTGCTATTCTTTAAATGAATTTTGATTAGAGTTTCTGAATGAGATGCCGAAACAATGTGAAAGTTGGGTATTCTTTAAAGTAATACTTTCATGTGTTGTGATGCGACATCTCGGCACATGGTGGTCAGCTCTAAAAGGAAACACAGTTACCGGTGTGAGTATATTGTTCACTATATGTCTTGACCTCATGTTTGCTGGCGAATACATGCAATTTAGCCTCATTTGCTCACTCCCCAAGTCATTAGTGTTGATACATGTAATGTTGACCACCATGTATAACCCTATGTATAACACCTTGATGTTACCAATTGTTTACATCAGAAGGTACATATGTGCAGAACAGACTTGACCGTCTGTTCATCTCTAACCCATTGAGTCGCATTGTGCACTGATGCGCCCTATTTTATTATTTTAATCGCAGGGCCGTAGGTTCAATTCCTACCAGAGGACCTTGTGCTGCATTTTTCGCAGTCGTTCCTGGTCAGGTCTTAAAATGTATATAATCACTTGGATTACAAACCCTAACATTCTTTATTATTTTACTCTGTCTAACGCCAGATTATTTTACTCTGTCTAATGCTATACAATTTTACTCGTCAAGGGGAGAGTGCTGGCACTTAGTGGGTTAACTCGTCTATCTGCCCATGATGTGTCTAGTTAACCCATTGAGTCACATTGCACCCTACTTCATTATTTTCTGTCTAATGCCAGATGATTTTAGTTGTCAAGGGGAGAGTTCTGGGTTAATATTTAAGTAGAATTAGCCTCTTCCACAGGCAACTCTGTATTGTTTTGTATAATAGGTTTTATATTTGGGATTTTTTCCTCCCATGTTTTGCTCTCCCCAGGCCTAACACTATTTTGCTTGAAGCTCGACCAAAGTTTGATCATTTACAAAATGCATTTACAATACAAAACAAATAAGAGTTGAAAACCTGTTATACAAAACAATACAGAGTTGCCTGCAGAGGAGGCAAAAATAGAATATGATTTATAACAGCAGATAACATTGAATTGTAGAAATCGAAGAAAAATATAACATTCAAACAATTGATGTAAACAATGTATTTTTCAGTCTTTTCAATATATCCACATTTATCAAATGTTCATATTTTACCATTATTTGTCTGACACTCCAGGGCTTAACACTGATACATGTAGGATAATCTGTGCTGAAAAAACTGGAGGTAAACAGTTGGGGGGCTGGAAAAAATTCTTCACGACCTGGCCTTTACATGCAGCTAATGTAGAATTCAATGGCTTATTATTACCTACATTACAGGAAACAAAAACTTGAATCTATAGATTCACCTCTCACACTCTGGCCTATAGCCTCACTTCTACCTCCAGGGAAAGTGAAATTGTCACACTCACACATTATTAGTTCCTTCTATGGTGCATATGGCTCAAGAATTTTAACAGTGTCAGTGAAAATGTCCAATGTTTATTCAACCATTAATTCACCCTCAACCCATGCATATACAGGCTGAAGTTATCTGGTATGCCTATATGCACATGGGGAAAATTTTGAGTACAAAAATAAAAGGTTGACCACCAATCTTGTTAGCATTTTTAATCAATACACCCAGGGGTGAAGACCTTGGAACTTCTTAAAGAGGGACATAAAAATCCATTTCAAAGGAATGTTGTCACCCAAATATTTGGCTTAAAAACTGTATTATGCATTTCCAGGGAGCTGGTTCAAAAATCTCTTGGAAAATATTTCCAGGGGAGCCAATGAAAAAGATTATTTTTGGAAACTCCAGGATGTTTTGAAGGTCTTCAACCAAAATCACTACTTAAATACTGAACAATGAAAAATATTTGGGTTTTTATCAAATTTGCCAATCATCATTTGCTTCTTCATCATAACTTGCCCAGTCTACAAATGGGAAAAATTGTTGTCAAAAATGTTGTGTCTTGGGCAGGCATTAGTTATTACTTGATTAGTCTATTACAAAGCCATGGGTAGCCTGTCCTCCCATCTAGGTGCATGCTTAACATGATTGGTGCATATAGAAATTATTTTGGAAAAGAATGTCACCATATTATTTCATACATACAATAAAATAAGCATCTGGTAAATTCCAATTATTATTAGCATTCACAAACAACAGTGTTACTACAGCCAAAATAGCAACAAATTAAATCAAATCACAGACACAGCTGATTGAGCTGAATGCTTATAAATGGAACAACTACTGAACTTAGTGAACTACAGTACATTGTAAAATAGCAGTATAAAGTTGTAAAAACAGATTAAGTCATTAGCTATATTCTGAATTCACATGACAATTGCTAATGTAACCCCCTGCACTCTTAATTCCTGACTATCAGACAAATAGCAAAAAAATTAGCATGAATGTGTTATTGTTAAGTTTTTAATAGTCAAAAGATTCACACCGTACCTTAATAAGATAGAAAACTTTTGCCGTTTGTCAACCAAATTCTTTGTCAAGCAAAGTTTCTTCCTTTCCACAAAAGATCCACGATATTTTACACAAATTACAGGTATATTAAAGCTAAAATAGCCAAGCAGGCTAAGCCCATAAACCAAAATATGGCAAAATATTTACAATTCCCGCTCATATGAAAACAATTTTGTTGAAAAAAAAAGAAACTGCAAATCTCTCCCAGATTTACCTCTTCCCATAGGCAAACTTGAAAACAAAAATAATTCAACAAAAATCAGCGAGATTTCAAACAATATCCTTGATTTTGAAACAATTTTTTGCGGTCTTTTTAGTAAAAAAATGCCCGCCATTTTGTAAGTTTTCGGGGGGGTGTGAATGCCTCTCCTTAGCGCACTGGCTAAGCTTTTGGTTACACTCAAACATTCGCGTTTCGTAATACAGTTACACCTCTGTCCAGTATCTACTCTGTGCTTGTATCGTATGACCCTGCAAAGGCCAGAAATGGATTCGCAAGGTCAGATTGCACCTACACGCGTGAGTTGACGTCATCCCGGCCACAAGAGCTTCTTATTGGCCAATTATTGCGCAATGTAAGCAAGTGCGAGTAAAACCCGCATCCTTGAAAAATTCAAAATAAATATTTCTACTCGCCGTATTCAAACGAAATTTTGTACACGAAAGAGCTTGAATACAAAGAGTATTTTACATATATAGCCGCTCAAACAATGACGAAAAGTTCAAGAGATATTCAAGATTATCTGGATATGAAATTCAGAATCTTTGGCCAAGCGGTGAGTAAATATATGATTGTTTCGGTTTGCGTAATGTTTTGACGGCTCTTGACCCCCCGTTCGAAAGGTTATTTTGTCAGGATTTCAATGGTGGGTTTTATTTAAAAGGGGGGGGGGGTAAATACTCGCCGAGATATTTACAATAGAAAAATTAAGTCGTAATGTATTGCGAAACCGTCTTGCCGTCAAAGAATCTAATTTCTCTTTGCAATATTTGTGTTGGATTATTGAAATGAGTCAAGTTCCTTGAACCAAATGTTGTAGGTTTTCTCTGGGTACTACGGTTTTTTCACACGGGAAGAAAAATCTGTCTGAAAAAGTTGTCCACTTTCATTACCATTTGACTGGCACTGCATGCATTTATTGTTGACCTACAGACAAGGGATTCAAAGCAATACATTTTGCCAGAACTAATTGTTTGCACATTCAGCTTTTTATTTTGTCTCAATCAATCTGCAGGCAAAAATCATTGCATACAACACAAATATGATGATGTGGACATCAACTGACATCTTGTTTTTTTTTAAAGAAATACAATGGTTTACATAATTAAGTTATGATGTTAGGTAAAAATTATACCATATATACGAATTAGCATAATATATCTAACCCAGAATAAGAACATCTATACCGAATGTGAGAGGTGCAACTTTAAATAATAACAACATATTGTTGATTTGTAGATGTATATGCTGTAGATTTCTGTATAATTGTATTAATATATACTATATATTGTGATTAACATTTTTTGTTTATACTTTGTTTTGACTAAATGCACTGATTGGTTTAATTTTTGTCACATGATCATAAAACGTCATGCAATTTTCCAGACCCCGCAACAAACTTCACGATGAAGGGCCTTCGCTCGAAACATCAAAGTTTATCCTTGTATTTTTCAGGTAGTTGCAAAACTTGAGGGGGTGTCCAGAAACATTTTTGAACCCCCCTGCTCGCCAGCATTTTTGGGGAAAATAGTGGCCAGAAATAAAAATTTGCTTGAAGGCATCATCAGTTTTGGCTGGGTAATTCTGGCAGACACCCCACAAATTAAAAGGGGCTAGTTTCGCCCCTGCTACCAAACAAAGCTTCAAATGTTTCTACCATGCATTGTGTGTGGCATAATAAATACAAATAGAACTTTACTGGGAATCTTTAAACTCCAGTGTTTTGCGACTAAAAATATTTGTAAATTAATTTTATCACTTGAGATAAATCCTGATCACTAGGGTCGACAGACTGTGCACGTTAAACAGTTACTTTTAAAAATGTTGGAAGCGAAACCAGGATTCATAATTAATTGTGTAAACGTTCTCTGGTTAAAAAAGATTTATTTATTAACAAGCTTTCGACTGCCAGTCTGCAGTCTTCGACGGGTAGATTTATAATGTGCTAGTGATATAAGATATGATACAGAGTGAGTAGTGCTATACAAGAGCGGTTTACAATTACATTTACTGACAAAAGACAATTACTGAAAGTTCCGCCTACGTAAATATATTGTGTAGAATTTAAAGTTTTGCAAAAGTTTTGTTTGAGCAAAAAGCGATATTGTTCTGGCAAATGTTTTGAGTTGTTATCAGCGTCTTTCATGCATGCAGTGTGCCAAGACTCTAACGTTGATCTGTGTCGATAGCTTCCCTTGTCAATTATTTTTCCGTTCTTAAAATCAATTCTGTGGTCGTTTGCGCACGCATGATTCGCGATATTAGAGCCACTCTTGCATTTTTTCACGTTTCGTTTGTGCTTTTTTTTCTTGTTATAAAGGCCCTGCCTGTCTCGCCAACGTAACTCCACGAGCAATCTGAACAGTTAATTTGATAGACGACGTTCGTCTGGTTCTCAGGTAGTGGTCGGTCTTTTTTG